CTTGGAGGAACCTGAAGCCGCGGAGGGTGACAAACGCGTCCAGAGGTCAGGCCCTCTCCTTCCTCACCACGTCCTGGGCACGCAGGAGTCTTTTCCGATCTTCAAACATGTCCAGGGCTGGGTGTGGCTTAGTGCCTACCTCACATCCAGGAGGCCCTGGTCTGATCCCCAGCGCTACAAAAAAGAAACCCGTAAAAGGCTTATGTGTGCACTTTGCTGGCTAGAGCTGTGGAGGCCCTGCAGGTCATCTCTTGTCCCTCAAGGCTCAACCCTAGTGTCTCCTCCTCCGAGGGCCTTCCCAGGCCGTCACCTGATTTGGACTAGGCTTCCTGGGTCCTGTCTGTGACAGTACTCGGTCGTCTCCTTGCTTCAGCGAGTACTAAACTCCAGGGGGAACTGTTGATTGTGGGGATTCTTCATTGTTTCCAAAGTGGAGGAGAAAGTCGTCACTCCAACCCCGAAGCCCAGAGGGAAAAGCCTTCCCTGCTTCCCACAAGGACCTGCCTGAATGCAGCTGTGTTCTCAGGCTCCCCCCAGTTTTCCCAGTTCAGGATGCTTGGCCCCATGGAACACGTGTCTGTTGTTTATCTATTTAGTTCTTTATCTATTTATTTATTTATTGGTACTGGGGATTGAGCCCAAGGGTGCTTTTCCACTGAGTCACATCCCTAGCCATTTTTATTTTGGGACACTCTTGCTAAGTTGCTAAGGCTGACTTGGAACTTGCCACCAGTCCTCCTGAGTCACTGGGATTACAGTGTGCAGCACCACACCTAGAGAATAAGTGTCTTTTCAGAGAAACCTGAATATTACCAACACCATCAGAGAGTAGGGCCATTTAAAAAAACCATTCCATGATGCACTTGTCTTGCCTTCCCCTTCTGCGGTCTGCCCACTGGGTCTGGGCCCTGGGAAGGCCGCACAGCAAGGGGTGGGGAGGGATCCGAAGGGGAAGGAGCTGCAGTAGGGGTTCCCATTGCCACCTTTTGTCTTTGCTTTATTGGCAGCGAGACAGATATGGCTTTGTCCAGGAAAGACACTCCTGCTGCTGTGTCCGTGGCCTTCCCCTGACCCCAACTCCTGGCCTCTTCATTCCTGAACTTCTTTCTGTTTCCTCTTCCAGTCTGTAAAGAGCCCTGGCCCCTTGCACTGTATCTTCCTCTCTTTTCAATTAACTTGGTTCTGGGTAGGATCTCCCTCTCCTTCCCTATGACAACAAGTTTCATGGCCTAGTCTGAGTGGTGGAGTATGCAGATAAAGGTTGTTGGAGAAAAGGCAAATTGTTTAAGGGGAAGATGTTTTAGTCCACTTTGCATTGCTATAACAAAATACCTGAGGCTGCTAACTTACAAAGAAAGAAAAGGTTCATTTAGCTCACAGTCTGGAAAATTCAGAGTCCAGGATTAGGCAGGGTCGGTGGGGGTCACTAATTTGACCTCTGATGAGGACAATGGATGATGGCCCTTCGTGGCAGGAGAATGTGGAGGAGCAAATGGTCATATCTTCAATCAGAACAGAGAAAAGGGAATGGGCAGGGCCAGGATTCTCCTTTTTTTAAAAAAAAAATTTTACCCTATTTTGCATTTTATTTAGAGACAGGGTCTCACTAAGTTGCTTAGCACCTTGCTTTTGCTGAGGCTGGCTTTGAACTCGTGATCCTCCTGCCTCAGCCTCCCTGGCCACTGGAATCACAGGCATGCACCACCATGCCCAGAAGGATTGCTCCTTTTATAACAATCTGTTTGAGAGAATTCTAACAATCCTCTTGAGAGTATTCAAGAAGTCCCGTGAGAACTAGCAAGAAGTGTCAGGGAACTACCTCCTGCCCCTGTGACCTAATGACCTCCCACTAGGCCCTCCCAGGGACCAAGCCTTTGCATATGGACATTCAACATCCAAATTTCAGCAGAACACGTATCATAAGCATTTTAGAACCATTTTCCTGGTTACATTTATCTGCTTGATGGTGGTCTGCATGGATAAAATGGAAACTTGTTAAGGGCAGGGCCCTCTCCTGCTCACAGCTCTGTCTGCCTCTCCTAGTGGAGTGCTTGGTTTGTGGTGGGTGCTCCATAAATGCTGGACAGGTGAAGGCGGGCACAGAATGATACAATCTGTATTTGAGTGTGTGCCTGATTGATGAAAGAAGATTGAGTTTGGAGACGTGGAAACAAAGCCCTAGACTAAGGTTGTAGACCAAGGGAATGGCGGTGGTGGGGAAGAAGAGAGAGAGTTTCATTAAAAATAACTGAGGGGGCTGGGATTGTGGCTCAGCAGTAGAACGCTCGCCTAGCACGAGCGGGACCCGGGTTCGATTCTCAGCAGGACATAAAAATAAAGGCATTGTGTTGTGTCCATATACAAAAAAAAAAAA